CAGCAGGATGAGAATTTGGCCCACTCTAAAGTACTCTAGCGCCCTTTGGGATGGAAAGGAAATGGATTCATGTAGGAGATTTAACTGTTTTAACACGCCCAAAAATAAATAAATAGGCAGGAAACCCGGCGGATGGTGCAGTGGACTGGGATTCAGGAGACCAGGACTCTGTTCCCAACACTGCCACGGCTTTCTGAGAAACCTTAAGCAAATTGCTTCACTTGTTTGTGCCTCAGTTTCCCAATCTGTAAAATGAGATTATTGCTGCTGACCTCCTTGATACTGATGAACCGTGATATGTAAGATCTAGATATACTTATTATAATTAAGATTCCTCGCTTACATTTCCAAACGCCAGCCCTAAAAATGAAGGTAATTGACAGTTAAGGAAATATGAACACTCACATTTACTTTCAGGTCAAACAACCAAGCTTCAAAATAGCCAAGGGCTACTGGAAGTCTCCCAGTCAGATTTTCAGAAATGGTCTCTGATTCTGGGTGTCCACCTTGAGATGCTTGGCATCTGAATTTTATGAGCACCCAGCACTCTGACTGAAGTCAATGGGAGCGCAGCACCCCTGAAAATAAAGTCTATGATGACACAAGCAGGGCAGCCAAGCACTGAGACGCACCAAATCAGAGCAAGAGGCAAGGGTTTTTGTAGGCGAGATCTTTTATTGGACAAACTGCATTGTTGGGATAGACTTTGGGGTACCAAATACCCTTCCTTGGGTCTCAAAATCAGAGGCCACTGTAAAAAATAATGAGGCTGAAGGCCTTGTCTACACTTGGGTTTCTGGTGCCAGGCTGGGATTTGAAAAACCTGGGTTTAGTCTCCTGCTCTGAGACAGACTTCCTGTGTAACCTTGGGCAAGTCACTTATGTCCACTGTCTCTACTCTTCATCCACAAAGTAAGTCCTGCTTCACAGGTGTATTCTGAGGATAAACACCTTTAAAACGTAAGGGGCCATATAAGTACCTAAGGTGGGTGGGTGGAAGTGCAGTGCTGTTTGCACCAGTGCATAGGGAAAACAACCACATTGTACCTGACACTGCTCCTGTATAAACCCTATGAATACCCAAATAAGACAAGACCTAAGTGCGTCCACTGTGGTTTTCTAAAGTGAAATGTGACAGGGTAATTACAGGAATTAAATTCCTGCTAAAGGATGAAAGCCCAGTGCAACCTTAACTGTTGAATCATTCCTAATGTCTGTGTAACAGCCAAAGCAATTATCCAAAGCAAGCTCATCTGGTTTCATGCATGAGGCTCTGGCAGTTCTTTCATTCAGTTGATCAGTATGATAAAGTCATGTGGCAACTGGCTGATCAGGGTCTATCTTTGCTTATCAGGTTATTACTTACTCTGGAGACAAGGTTTATAATGACTTTAACGTTGAGCAGAAGGGTCGCTTTTCCTTCAACTCTAATTTCCTAGCTGGAGATGCCTCCCTACAGATCATATTTCTGCAGCCCAGCGATGCGGGACAGTACACGTGTAAAGTTAAAAATGCCGGGCAGTATGAATGGACTCACATCACGCTGAAGGTTCTAGGTAAGGTCGTTCTGTTGGTGTCTAAAAAAAAAACCCACATTAGATTCAGTTCCTTCAAGCAGATTTATTTCAGCATGGAAGAGATACACCTGGGCTGTCTCCCAGTATCTCATGATCAAGTTTCATGCTCAAGCCTTACATTTGCCTTTGCATTTTTCTGGTGAAGGACAGCCACAGAGAGGAGCTGAAAGCGCTCTTTGTAGGTCAGTGTAACCTCCTGCAGAATGATAGCAACCTTCCTTTCCAAAGCATCTCTCTGATCTCATCCTAAAAACTGGAATGCCGTTGTAGCTGTGTGGGCAATGACCTCATAATGATGTCATCGGAGGCCTCTGGATCCAAATCTCAGCACCAAGAACTGGCTCCAAGCCTGACCAAAGCAAGATGCTGGGGTTGGCATTTTGCCTCCTTGGTTGAAAGGGTTGTTTTTGAGTATTTTTAGTAAGTAGGCAATTAACCTAGAGACCAGGGGATGTGGTACCCTGATGGGAGGATGAGGAAGAAGAAAGGGGAAGGAAAGGAGAAGCAGGTCACAGCACATGCTGAATGAAGGGGAAGTGTGATGAAAAAGGTTTGGCAATACAGGGGTGACCCTTAAGGTAATGACAGGGATTAAGCCCACATCTCAAATTTTCCTGAGTCATTCATGGGAGTTGTAGATGGTACCTAGATCCCAAAGCTGATGCTTTGGCCTCCCTTACCCTGGTATAAATCCTGATGGGAGAATTGCACTGGTGCATCAAGTTATTTCTGTTTCCTCACCTCAGACTGCAGGAGGAGTCATTGCTGCAAGGGCCCCAAAATAATGACCATCAGGTAGCAGCAGGCTTCATTGACACACCCAAGATGGCTCAATGGGAAAAGCAGCTCTTAGAAAGTGCTGGCAATAACGTCCTCTTGCTCCCTGGTCGTGAGGAGCCAAAGAAAATCTGTACCCTGCTAGCAGAGTCAGCTGCATTTCCAAGAGTAGGGTTACGGGCATATTTCCAGTTCCAAAAGAGGACACCTGTTGTGGGGACACCTCACTCCTGACCTGCAGACCCCTGTCTCTGCTGCTGCCCCTCACTCCCAACCTGCAGCCCCCTGGCCCTGTAGTGCCCCTCGCTCCCAACCCGCAGACCCCGGCCCTGCCAGTGCCCCTCACTCCCAACCCACAGTCCCCCAAGCCTCAAAGCCATGCTGGTGCCCCTCACTCCCAAACCGCAGCCCCCGTCCCTGCTGCTGCTTCTCCTGACCTGCTGCCCCCTGGCCCTGCTGCTGCCCTGCACTCCCAACCTGGAGCCCTGGCTCCCCCCCCCAGCCATGCTGGAGGGGGCTCCCAGCTGCTCCTGTCCCAACTGGGCCGGAGCACAGTGACTGCAGTTCATGCAGGTGATAGCAAAGCGAGTCTGGTCCTGGCATGGATGGGAGGGAAGAGGGGAGGCCTGTGGCACCCCCTGCCCTGGGCTGGGGCTCCAGTGCCATGCCAGGTGGCCTGGCCACCCCCAGGCAGCATCTCCCGGCTGGCCCAGCCCTGCGATCACGGGCACTGGCCCCAAATGTATGGTAACCCTATCCAAGAGCAAGCCTTGGTTCTTCTTATTGAATACGGTCATTGTGGTGGGGGGGTTCCCTGCTTTGCTCCCTAAGGTGAAATCCTGGCCCCGCCAAAATAAGTGGCAAGAGTTGCATTGATTTCAAAAGTTGACTATTGCTCCACAACCCCTTCTCTTTCAGAGAAACCTGCCAAGCCCAAATGCTGGATAGAAGGTGATTTATCTGAAGGAAAGGAAGTCTCCTTGCAATGCAATTCAGCCTCTGGCACAGCTCCTATCACATACCAGTGGCAGCGTATAACTGATGAGGAAGGAAAAGTTGGACACCTCCCACCCACGTCACGAGTCAGTAAGTCATGCCATTCTTCCTCTTAATTCTCATTGTGCTTCAGCAAACAAAAAAAACCGTCCCCACACAAAAAGTGGGGTGTAGTTTTTTTGGGATGTGGTCAGAAGTGCTGAACCTAAAAAAGTGGCAGCGGCTGGGCCAGGGGGCAGAGCGAGGGGCATCCGCAAAAAAAAGTGGGGTTATCTTCTCTTTTTCCCCCACTCTCAGATCTGCCACTAACTGATGTTGTAACACTAGGCAAAAAACAGAATTCCTTTTGGACATGTGCTAGGTGCTGTACATCCCTATAAGAAAAAGGCTGCCCCTGCTCGAGAATCTTATAATCTAAGTGTTTGATTGTACTGCTTGATGACCCAGAATGACCCATGCTAATTGTTCATTCATTTTAAAATGACTTTTGCTTAAAAGGTGGTAGAGGAGCACAACTTATTTGCTGTCTGTTAGTAAGCAGTTATTCCTTTTCCCATTGCAGCTAAACCCATTTCCAATACTGGAACTTAGTGTGGCAGGTGTCGTGCAAACATGCGGTAAAAGAGCTTGCACATGAGATAAAAAGAGCTCTCTGCACCAAAGAGCGTGTGAGTTAAATGAACAAGACAGACAGAAGGTCAGAGAGGAAAGAGAGGCAGTGAGAAGTGACTTAAGGACACAGCACAAGTCAGTGGCAGAGCTAAAAATAAACAAACTGCTGTCTTCTGTGCCAGTACAGTACCTTGTCTGTTGGGCCAGACTTCCTGCCTATTTTTATTATTGATTAATTTTTTTTATTGATTAATAGTTTCTTT